CAACCGTCGACTGATGTGAGTGTGTGTGGCATGCAAACAAAAGCCGCTTGTCTGTCAGAGTCGAACTTGAAAACTTTCTTGCGTTGAGATTTCTTGTTTTATTTTTTTTTTTTTTTTTTGGGTTGGGTACAAAACACAAGAACAACAACAAAAATGAGTTGTAAATGTCAAAAGCGTTCGGAGGATGCCGTAGACAATTTTCAAATGCTGGCAATCTGCAAAGCAATTTGAAAAGAAATGAAAATATGCGCAATAATTTACACCCTAGGCAATTTTTTCCCGCTATGCCACGGCCCCATACTATTATCAATTCTTGTTTGGATTTTGTCGTTATTTTTATACCCGCTACCCGTGGAGCGAATGGGTATACATAATTCTAGATTGTCTCTACTGATTTTGGCATCAATTGTTTTTGTGCATAATATTTACAGCACACCTTAGAAGGGAACCTCGCTTGAGTTATTTATTTATTTTTTGCCTGAGTGCTTTCAGTAGGTATTTACTTTCCCCAAAAATATGTTAATTAAATTAAATGACTGTAATCAAACATAAACAAAAAATATATCCTTTGGATACTTTGTGAAAATATTTTATTTCGTATGATCGAATTCCAGTTCAATTTATTGAAATCTTATTGCTGACCCTCCAATTGCACGTCCACTATTTATAAATATCTGAAAAATGTAATTAAGCATTTTTATTGCATTAAATCATTTATGTGTGTAATTAATTTGAATTCCTTTAACATTTGGTAATTGGAATTAAATAGCTTATAAATGCTGGAATAATTTAATTGAGTAATGTTCCATTATTGGGATGCCAAATCAAAGCGAGTATTGGGTATCACAAAGTCGAAAATCGCAACTGTGCTCGCTTTGGTCCTTGTTGCTCGTGGCATGACAACTCTTCAGCAGGCGAATGACGATTCTGATGGCCACCCATGTCCTCCGTTGCCAGCGTGTGTGTGTTTTGGCTGTAAGCAGCTGTCAGTGATTTCTGACAAATTGATTTGACAGTCGACAGTCGACAGGCGACCAAGGGGAACCGAAATGCGGGGCGGCACGAACTTTTGGGCCGGGCAGCAAAAGTCGGGCGCGTGTGCTAAAAAAAGATGAAAGCCGCCGTTTGCTGTTCGCCGTTTGCTACCACTCTTGTTGCCATGTCTATGCGTGAGAGAGACGGGGCGAGAGAGGCTGGGCCGCTCTCCTAGCCAAAAAAAAAGAGAAAGCAGCCAAGCAGAAGTATAAGCAGCGCCAAAGAGTTGTTGGCCCAAAGAGCGAAGCGTGGTGAATTTTTTTATGCTGCCTGTGTGTATATGAATTTGTTATTGTCATACCCTGCAGGCCAAACAGTGTGATGCACTGGAAAAAAAGGTAATAATGTTATCACATTTTGGTTTACTACAACTGCAAGTTGGATTACGCCATACTAACTTACCCAACTTTAGCTTATGAATCTTAAGCTCAGGTTATATTGAAACAAACAAATATCAAACTCTTTTGATAAATGTAATTTAATGAAATCCGCTCTTTTTATGTTGATGTAAATATATCGATTTGTCTTTTGATATTTAAAAAATCATATGAATAAATTTACTAACATGTTCGTTTTTCTACCCGCTTAAATTAAAATATTCTGTTGTGAATGAATAATAATATTTGAAATGGTTACTGTAAGCCATGTATTCGTTTAAAGTTTGTAGTTTTTAGGGGGAAATCAATTTCAACAAAACAAAAATCTACAATATTAAAACGTACATTTTATTGTTAACAAAACTTTCAAATCAAAATCTAAAAAGTCACTTACTGAAAAGTTATTTAATGTTTTAATAAATAAATTCATAATCCTTAGTTATAATGCATGTAGTGGTAGTTTTAATCCGATAACATGGATTGTATAGAATTAAGGGGGTTAAAACAGCCACACTCGGGGGAAAAATGATTGAATCTGTATATCTGTAAATGAGTATGGTACAAAAATGTATTCTTAAAACTCAAAACCCCACCACACAACCAAATCCCTGATTCCGCCTTTGTTTCAAATGACGGCGGGTTAATAAAATAAAGGCAGTCGCTTGAAAGTATTTTCCGGGAAATGCTCTTCGCCTGGCAGTTTGTTTCGCTTTCTGCTGCCAGTTAGTTACAGCTAGTTACCTGCTGCGCCGAGCTCAGCGGAGTAACTTTAGCTCCGGCTTGATTGACGTTCCAACTGATTGACTAGACTAGTGACTGACGGACTGGACTGAAATCGGAGAGGATGGATCTGGGGGGAATACGCCCTGCAGCATAACAAATGGCTGCGGTGGGTGGGCAATGGGAGTCGGAGTCGGGAGTCGGGAGTCAGTAGACGGTAGTCGACTTTAAACTGGCATGGGAAAATGCCATTAGATGAGCAGCTGCCAACGTCAGTGAACGGCGTCTCTCACTTGACAGTTTTATTTATAAACTGTGCAAATAAAACTGTAAATCACTGGGGACACAGTCAGCGAAAGCGGGGGAAAAGTGACCTACATAGATGGCAGGCTAGCCCAAAAAAAAAAAGAAGAATATATACGAAATAACACTCGGCACACTGGCAAAACGAACGTTGCCGCCACAAATCAAACAATTAATTTTACTGTCTGAAATTCCAGCACTAAATCAACAGCCAAACAATTGAACCATTTAACTATGTAAATAAAATTAATGCTCCCTGAAAGTGGAAGCTGGCTAAGGATGGCAATGCTGATGAAGATGGGGATAAGTTTTGGTGTGGCGGGGTTGGGGGGGGGGTGGGTTGAACACCGGACAGTTCCACCTTATGCCGACAGCAAAGCAAAATATCCATTAAAAAGCAATCAATATATGGAAAATAAATGCCAGTCACCCTGCCTGCCATTCGTCCTCGTCTCATTTCATCTAGTTAAGAGCCTCTGCCAGCCGCATAATCTGAATTTAATTTACCCCGCAAACACACAGCGCATAACAACAACAGCAACAGCAACAACAACAACAACAACAGTGGGGGGGTCACAAAAATAAGGCAAACAAAAACTGAAAAATGTCAAAAACGAAAATGAACTTTCCAGGGGGTTTTGGCCCCAGTGTTAGTGTTGGCTGGCGAATGAATGGCCATTAAGTAGCACACCCATAGAAAGGACCCAAGGAGCTCAAGCTCAAGGTGAGTTTGCTAGAGCGGGAAAGGACATAGTCCTCCTGCCAGCGAGAGAGAGAGTGAGAGAGAAAGAGAAGAGAGAGAGCGAGGAGGCCGAAAATATTCCACAGTGAGTTGCCATTTTGCTGCTCCAGCATAATTTGTATGCCCCAGCCTCCTCCAAATCCCCCCCCCCCCTCCCCCGCAGTCATCCCGCCTTACTTGACCTGATTCTGGTGACGTCATTCGCAGGGTAGGCCTCACTGCGAATACGTAATGTGCGAATCGGGCTGCATTAGGCTGCTGGTGGAACTGGCGGAGCAAGTGGCTAACTTGATTAAATACGAATACATTATATTATTTCATTTGTTCGAGCACAAAGGCGATGGAGCACAAAGGGTAGAACAGACAAGGCAGCGTCTTCCATTCAAGTTGACTCCTTGAAATATCTGAAAGCCCGCTGTCGTTTTTCTCGTCTATTTGATTTTGACGTGCCATTGACCAGCCACAAAACTGATATCTTCAGTTTTCAGCTGCAACTTGGTGCTGGGAAAAGGAAATGCCGCAGAAGAGGAGCAGCCAACATGCAACTTTTAAGGCAGGGAGAACTGGCAGCTGGCACCAACTTATAACTCAAAGTGCTATGGCTCTTAGGGGCCCGGGGCAGATCCTTTTTTTTACCCTTCGAACAAGAAAAACATACACACACACACACACACGTTCAGAGGGTGACGGTGAAAAGATACAAAACTTGCAAAAACGAGAGGGAAAAAGAAAAGTTTCAGTTACGTGCTGTTGCTTTTAATTGAATTTTTTTCCCACTGTAGCTTCTGCTTTCTCCCTAACTGGCCGCATTGGGCAGCCAATGGTCCAATGGCCTGACCAAGCACATCCGCCCGCCACTTCCGCCGGTGCCCCTGCTCCCGCCTTTCCCTCGTTTCCCTCTTTTCCCGCTCCCAACCCCCATCCCCATCCCCATCCCCATACTTTTCCCAACCTCCTCAGCACGAGCAGACTCTAGCTGGAGGGCAGTTTTCTTGTTATTTTCAACGCGCAGCCAAGTCGCAAGTCCTTAAGCGGTTTATTTTGCTTCACACTGATTTGCAGGCAGCGGAGGTATCCCGAGGACCCATCCTCGCGAAACCCCCCACCCTACACTTGAAATTAAAAATAAGGATTACTGCTATCTAAATACAAGTTATGCGATTATTTGGTGAGAAAAGTAAATGCCTTAAAGCAATTTCGCAGTTGACCTTTCACAGCAACACCCAGAATTGGGATCCTCCAAGTTTGAATTACATTTTCGGGACGAAATTAATTAACTTATTTTATTTTCGTTTTCATAAATTGGCCATATTTATTTGGCTAATGGGATTTTTTAATGTTAGGAAAAGATATCAAGAAGAAATTTATAAAAACAAAACTTTTATGTACCCAGATTCTATACTTAATGCTTGGACTTATTTAGTTAATCTTAAAAACCAAATCAAACCAAATGTTTGTTTAATAATAATTTAAAATCTTAAGTTATTATTAAATTACAAACATTTTATGTGTTTTAGCTTAGGAAATTGTTTCTTCCTAGCTGACACATCCGCATTAGTTAAGAGAAAACTCTTTACAATAACGTGGCTTTTCCCGCAGTGCAGCTTTCCCCGATTTGCTGCTGCCAGTTTTTATGCAGCAAGTTTTTAATTAAGAAGTTTCAATTTAACATTGCCCATAGACTGCACTTCGCTCTGAAAAAGCGCATTATCATAATAATTTACTTACTCACTTAGCGGGACGGGGCACTTCAGAGCATAATCGTCGGCAGGCATTTTGATGGCGCTCGCCCCATTCACTTCCTTAGTTCCCAGTGGCAAGGAGATAGCTTTCAATTTGGAAGTACATTTGAATATTTTGGAACACAATCTTGGCCGCACATTACGAAGTTCGTTGAGGGACACGCAGATCGGGTTCTGTTAAGGACCGCATGGTGCGCCTTTGGTCCCTTTGAAAATGGCAAGTCATTTGACATGTCTGGTGGCTCTGCTAGTTTTAACCGTACTTGTCCTAACGGTTTGCGCTTACTACACCATAATGCATCCGAAACAGATTCGTAAGTCTGGGTCGCCGACTCCTGCCCATCCTCATTCCACATCGCCCACAGATCTGGTGAGCTGCTATCTCGAAGGAGGCTCCTGCCGGGAGCTGTGGAACTGCGAGGAAAGGTTCCAAAGTCGCCTCCGCACCACGTGCATCAACAAGCGAAAGGTCTGCTGCTTTCCCACCGTCCAGATGAAGAGTCTCCAGGATGCCGAAGATTACGCCGAGTGAACGTCATCCATTGGAAATCGATAGCAGACCAGTCCAGCAGCCAGATAACTTGGAGACCATACTATTTCTTTTGCAAACCATACCTTGTATTGAATGTACCATTTCGTAGGCAATTTATATAATTGGAATAATCAATTGAAATTATTATTCCGTACCGGGTATATCTAAATTTTTAGTATTGTCTAAGGAGATTTTCAAGGAAGCAAATTAGAAAGTGGTTATTATTATTTTTACTCTTAACTGAGATCTTCCTTTGTGTTATAAAGATAAATTTTCTGTTGTAATTTCTAGAAAAGCCACTAAAGCCATTTAATTCAACTACTAAAAATATTCAACTTTTTCTAAGTTTGTTTTAAAACTAATAATTAAAAGTGTGTGTGTTTATTTATTTATCTTTATTTGTATACAATTTAGCAACCCCCTTGACTTTTTCCTCGCAGTGCCTTCTCCGTTTTCACTCACATTCCAACACTATCCAATTATCTGGCCGACTATCAATTCCACGGGTCCATCAATTGAATCGTTATGCCTGCGATAAGTTTAACATCCTGTCTGGCCAGTATCCTTTAGCCACCCCCCCCCCACCCCGCTGCCCGGAAGGCCCTGGGCTAATTTAGTGAGTTTGCTTTGCCATTTTCCCCACCAATAACACTCGCAACTCATTTGTCTGGTCCTGGGACGGCTTAGCCCAATCCATTCCCACCGGGCACTGGCACTCGACGGGCAACACTTGGCATTGTCCCACACATATCCTGCGCCATCCCGGCAAGCCCCTCCCATTGCCCCTTTCCCATCTCTAATGAAGCGCAAATGTTGATGTAAAAATTTAATTTAGTTCGTAACCCAACGATGCCGCACACGCAGGACCTTGCGACTTGGCTGTGAAAATGGCTGGGGCGAATGGAATGTCCAAATGTTTATGCATCGTGTGGCGAAACGCGTGTTTACCTTCTAATGTGTGCGTGACATGGACCCATGGGTTAGATATGTATGCCCGCACTCACAAACACACACACACACACACACAAACACATGCATTCGATATTACGTATACGCAGGGATGTCCTTCGGTCCCTTCGCTGGCAACACAAAAAATAATAATAAACGATGCCACCACGTACATGTATTAAAAACAAAGCGCAGCACAGAAAACGCTGACAGGCCCCTTTGCCTTCGGTTATTCCAGCTTCAGCTCCATCCAGGGATCCTGGAGGACACCTCCTCCTCTTCGTCCCTTTGCTGTTGCTCCTGCCCCTCCTTCAGGCCATCCTTTGGCGACTCCCGTGAAAACCATGGCTGCTGGGACGCTACGAACCGGCAACAGAAGCCCGTCACAAAGCAAAGCTAACAAACTGTGAGCGGAGCGGAGCAGAACATAGCCCAGCGATGGGAAGGGATTGGAGTGGGAATAGTAGTGGTAGTGGGACCAGAGGGGCGTAACATGGACGGGGCTAAAAAAAGGCGTGGCTGTCGGCCCAGAAATTCAATGTCGTTCGCTGGCTGCCAGCGATGTTTACGAGCACAGTGGCCTCAGGCTGACCAAAAACCACCACAACTGCCAAATATATTACCAAATATTATTTAAACTAATGAAACTAATTATGATTTGTTATTGATTACATTCCATTGCAGTTGCCTGTGGGCTTACGAATAATTGTCTGATTTGAATTGGAGTTATTAAATAAATAGTTTGGAATCAGAATTTCATTAAACATAGCTTTCATAAAATTCATTACGATAAGCTTGTATCTTTGATTGCACACAATTATAAATTAAATTGTTAGATGTAATTTACATCATTAAGCATCTAGGTAGCAACTAAAGCAATACAAAATTAAAATGAGAAACTAACGAAATTTTGCTGTTAACAGATCTACTTTTTGCTTACCATAAGGACAAGAAAATTATCCTCAACATTTGTACTGATTATCTAAGATAAAATTAAATTTATAAAATGTTACTTTAAACTTGATAATACCAGCTTGCCTTTAAATGTGTAATAATGTTTACTTACAAAACCAACTGCTTTAAGGATTCGTTTTGGCCAAGCCTGAAGTCAGTGTTCAATGAACACTGGCAGGCAGGCAAAACTAACGAACGACATTGGCGGGTCCTGGCAAAGGACCTCGCACATGGCTGGGGTGAAAGTTAGACCCCCACTCCTCCCACTACCACCTGCTCTGAAGTCCTCCTCTTGTTTATGGCTTTGTTTGCACTTTTGTTTATGGGTGTACATTTTAAACGCTATGAGCACCTGCTCTGCCATTCGCCATCATGTGTGGCTGCCTTTGTGTGCCGCCTGTGCTTGTGTGTCCGTTCCGTGACTTGTACTTTCCCACCCCAGGACCCCCCACCATCGCCCAGATTTTGCGACCCTGTTCTGCGATGGCCACAAAACGAAGCCAGCTCCAGTGTCAGCTGACAGATGCAGTGATTTTAAGCGTCCATCAAAAGCTCCTGTTTGACATTTAATTGTTGCACATTGTTGTCGCTGTGGCCGAGCACAAGGAGCCACGGAGCCACGGAGCGACATCCAACAATCAGGGTTTGCTTTGGTCATTGTTCCTTGGGTTCAAGGTGAGTTGCGGCCGAATTTAACACGGCCAAACCATAAAAGACCAAAGTCATGTGCTTTATTACACATTCAACGGCAATGCGGCAGGAGATTATATCCGTAAACCCAAACACAGGAATCCAGGTGTGTGCATTGTCGTTAGAGGTGGGAATCGGAGCGTGACTCTGTTGGATTCTTGCGTTTGCAGTGGCAAATTACATTTCGTTCGTCAGCGGACTTAAGTTGGCTTTAAGCCTTCTGCATTTCAAATCTAAATCTGTATAGGTCTTTAAATTCTTAGGGATGGTCTTACTTTATTCCGAATTCTTACTTAGTATTGAGATATTTTGAAATTTTCATTTTCCTTTTTTCGATCGCTCTTATGGCATATAGTCATCCGATTTATAACAAATTAAAACCCTAATTCTAATGCTAACTTCGGGCGGAGCCGAAGTTGATATACCCTTGCAAAATATTGTGTAAATTATATTGGTTGACCATAAAACCCATAAAAAATCCCAACTTCCTAACGTTACAAAAACCAAAGTTATGGCAATCGTTAAGTTAAATGGCAGCTATAGGATATAGTCGGCCATAACTTTACAAAATATAATCCGATTTCAAAGTGGCATACCTCTAAAGACTTGTGGTTGGATTCTCTAAAAATCTGCATTCAAAATTTTTATTTTAGCGTTTGACCTATTTTCATGTTGGTTATTTCTAAGTTTCCGATGAGTTGCCCAAAGGTGACCCACAATTGGACTCCTAGATTCCATAACTTTACCAAATTTAATCCGAAATCAAAGTGGCATACCTCTAAAGACTTGTGGTTGAATTCTCTAAAAATCTGCATTCAAAATTCTTATTTTAGCGTTGACCGACTTTTTGACCCATTTTCATGTTGGTTATTTCTTAGTTTCTGGTGAGTTGCCCAAAGGTGACCTACAATTGGACTCCTAGATTCCATAACCTTACCAAATATAATCCGATTTCAAAGAGGCATACCTCTAAAGACTTGTGGTTGGATTCTCTAAAAATCTGCATTCAAAATTTTCATTTTAGCGTTGACTTTACAAACACCAAGGTTTTGGCATTTCGAATCGTTCAGTTATATGACAGCTATAGGATATAGTCGACCGATCCTTATGAATATTGGTAGGTCGGATTGATTGGCCAAAAATAAAACCCATAGAAAATCCCAACTTCCTAACTCAAAAAACACCAAATTTATAGACATTCCGATCGTTCAGTTATATGGCAGCTATAGGATATAGTCGGCCGATCCGGCTCGTTCCGACTTATATACTACCTGCAATAGAAAGACAACTTTTGGGAAAGTTTTAAGCAGATAGTTTTAAAACTGAGGGACTAGTTTGCGTAGAAACGGACAGACGGACGGACAGACGAACATGGCTTGATCGACTCTCCTGCTGATGCTGATCAAGAATATATATACTTTATAGGGTCGGAAATGTCTCCTTCACTGCGTTGCAAACTTTTGACTAAAATTATAATACCCTCTGCAAGGGTATAAAAATGACGAAAAATCTAACCAAAAATACAAACCAAGATTTAAACAAAGATATCGGATCTCTGTAAGAAAAGTTATGGGCTGGGAAGTGCAAGTTTTGGAAAGTTTTCTGCAAGACCAAGGGCATAAAAAGTATTTTTTATTTGAAGGTAAGCCAATTTATAAAGATTTGACCGAAGACTTGAAATTTAAATTATTTTTTTGACAGTCAAAGGGGAATTTTAATAACACACAATTTGTATGCTTTGAATAAAAGTGTCATGGTAATATGAAACGAAAACAAACCAATGTTCCAAAGGAGATGACATAATAAATATATAATTGAAGTGGAAGTAAGTAAAATATTTAATAAAATGATAAAGTTTTTGAATTAAAGTTTAACGAGCTCAGGCGGATGAAGGTGAAGGACTCGGCGTCATTCCTGTGACAAAATGTCCATTCCCTGGGTAGAAAAACTTGCAAAAGTTTACACGTGTTGGCAAACGTTTTGTGGCTTCAGTTTTTACATTATTTTTTTCTCGTCCTTCGGGTTGGCTTTTGCCTAATTTCCAACTGTCACCCGGGATGGCTTTTGGACCCCGGAACTCACACACAGGTACACACACATATGCGACCATTTTCTAATGCCCTTTTCGTGGTCAAGCATTTAAGCGTTCTGGGCCCCGAACCCCAAAAACCCGTTTAGCCCTCACCTTTGACTCTGTGTCACTTTGGTTTACTTTTGTGCAACCGCAAAAGTCGTTGTTGCTGTTGGAGAATCTGCACACACAAACACAGATACTTATCCATGTGCACATGGTCGCTCACATATACACACCTTTTCTGACCATTTCGCACACGATGTTGCGGTCGTGTTGACATTTTAAATGCCTTTTCATTTGTCTCCCGCCACTGAAATCGCTTTGGCCGCTAATTTCGTTCCATTTGCTCTTTAATGCCACACAATTTGACTACACATTGAATTTAATTGAATGGTGCGGTCGGAATGAATCCGTTCCCAAACCACCTTTAAACTTCATTTTGATTCTGATTGTCATTATTATCCACCGTGATCATATTTGCTACACAGAAGTCTC